TTTAGTGTCTGGCATGTAGAGACTGGCTAGCTCACTCTCTTCTAGGGCCTTTTGCCAAATTTTTTCTCCATACAAAGAAAGCAAAAGAGGAAGTAAGGAAACAGCTGATATGTCTGCAATTTCAGCTAAAATTTGATGCCAAGGCAGAGTGGAAAGGAAACTCACTCAATGTCTTGCAATTACAAGATAGCTCAGTATCACCTGTGAGGTGTGAAGGATTTTGACCAGCTAAGTCTTGAAAATCTCAAAAACTGGAAATGCAAAACTTTTCTGGTCAATCTGTTCCAATGCTTGACTATCCTTATGGTGAAAAAACTTTACTCTGTTTTTGATTGAAGTTTCTGTTTCAATTCATTTGTAGTTTCTAGGGGTTTTCCAGGTGCATTTCCACATGTACCTGGCTTTGTCTTGTGGCTAACCCCAGTGTAGGTACTGGAGGGCTGCTTTTAGGTTCTGAACTCTTTATCCAAGCTTAAACAAGCCCTGTACCCTCATCCTCTCTTTAAGGGTCAAGGCTTCTAAAAACCCTCTCACCATCTTGATGGCCTCCTGCAAAACTTGCTCCAGGTTATCAAAATCCTTGTATTGAGGCCCCAAAATGGAATGCAGTGTTCCAGATGCCCTAATTAAAGTGTCAAGCAAAGGGAAATCATAGTTATATGTTACTACTGGCTGTGTTTTTGTTATTGCAGCTCCTGTTCACCTCCTTTGCTGTTAAGGCCTGCTGCAGGCTTGTGTTCACTTTGCTCAGTATCTGTCAACATGAATATTTTGAAAACGGGTAAAATTAATCTAATTTTCACCTAAAATATGGGAATTGTCTTTGTTTACAAAGCAACCACTAATGTCTTCATAACCTTTTAAAAATCGTGATAATTTTGTATAACTTCTTATAAGATAAGCTGATGTAGTCTGGAGGAAAGAATTTTGGATGTCTGGTTCCTAGTGCAGTGAAAAAAATCTGTGTTGAATCAGTAGCAGTTTGTATTCAGAATAGAATGGTACCTCAGGCAGTTTATCAGGATCTTAGTGGAAATCTTGTAAGGAGATACCTGCATATGTAGAGTGCATTTTTGAAGTGCAAGATGCTCTGGTTCTGTTTTTCTGTTTCAACTCCATTATCTTCACCTACACTTTACAAAGTCATTCTTACCTGTTGTATTAACAAACTGTTCCAATGAAAATCCCTGACCTATTGGACTATGTTCAAATACCTTCTTTGCCTTAATATTTATAAAGATTCAGTGCTGGTTAGCTTGCTGATATGCTATGTCTGCTCCTTGTTATTGCACTGGTCCTTTATGCCTGTGTCTGTATGTGTCTATTTCCCCAAATTTATACCAATTCCTTCTCTGCACATGATGTGCATGCTTTATTTCAGCAGCTAGCATAGTCCTGGGTTACTCAGGAGCTTCATGGCTTTCTCTGTGTTAACTTTACAGTGAGGAAATGGTATTTGGCTTGCTATGTGTTTTGCCTTCAATACTTGAAATCCAGACTGTTTGTACAAAGAAAAGAATGTAAGTCTTGAACCAAAGCTGAAAAAGTCTTCCAGGGGCAGGCTCCTGGTCATAGTGAATTCAAAAGCAAATAAACGAAATCCAGATGCTCAGTTCAGGATGTATACACAAGCAATAAAACCCTGCTGTTTCCAAATGTCTCAATTTAGAAGTAAATAGACAACTTAGAAATTCACTTTAAAAAAATCTAATTGTTTTTTATAAACTTGTAATAATTACATCTTGCAGCCAGATTCAAAAGCAGCTATATAAATTATGAACATCTTGCACTTCTAGTGCTTTCTTTACTAAAGTAGCTGAGAAAATGCTTGCAGATATGATAGTGCTTGATCTTTACTGAGTCTTTGGTATGTCTCCTCAAATATGCAGAGGTTGAGCATTTGACATTCCCTTGTGAGGCTGAGCTGAGCCTGCTTCTCTGGTTACACCTGTGACAGCTCTGCTTTGTGTGGCTTTTCTCATAGAACCCAAGAGCAAATTAGCATTTAAATCACCACATGTACTTTTAGATTTGTGCATAGATGAAGAAATTATTTATCGGCAAAATCAGTATTTTCTGAAGCATTGTTCTCATTTGCATGATTTATTTCTCTGCATAGTTTATCTGTGCATGAATTTTCCTTTATTTAGTTATCTGGTGGTTTTGTGATAGAATCTGCCACACTGGAAAAAGAATAAGCCCGTGAAGGCACAAAAACATGACTGCTAAACATAACCTGAAAGAATTCATAAGTAATTCAAGGAAAGAAAAACCTATCTCTTACCTTTGTGTGAGAAAGAGAATCATCCTTGGTTGTTTTTAATATTAATGCCATGAATAGTGGTGAATGGAAATGCATTTTTGCCTTCTGGCCAAGCTGTATAGAACAGTTTTTACTGGTTGTTACTGAGATCACTTGGAGCTGACAGGACAGAAAGATTTATTTTTAATGAGAATGAATGACATTGAAGAAATCACAATGTTTCTCCCAAATTCAGTAGAATAATAGTTAATTTAATGACTAACAGCACTATGTGAAAATGTCTTACTCTTCGGTGCATGAAAGGATGACTTCATGTATTTCATGACTGTGATTCAGGTTTTGGTGTGTTCTTTAATATCTTTCTGTTCCTTCTCACAATACAATTTAAAGGAATGAAGGTTCTAATTTATTTTATTAAATTGTTTAATTGTAGTAGTTTTGCTTCTGGATTTTTTACCTATTGAAAAACGTTCTTCTTGTATCCAAAATTTACACATACTTGCTTATTCAAGGAGTTTTATTATTTGTTTTCAAGAAGCTGTATTATTTTTTTTTTATATGAAAATGCCAAACCTCCTGAATGCTTGAGCATTGGTCCATATTTTTTGAACATTTATTTCTTCTATATACAGTATTTCCAGTGAAAAGACTGCAGAAACTGCTTTTGGGCTGTTACCTTTGAGTGCTTCTCTCTCTGTACACTCTGTTTATGAAAACGTGTATTGGTGTTTGCCACAAAATCTTCTGGTCTACTGGTATGGATTTTTTTTCCCCTGTGTGTGGCCATTGTTAGCTGAAGATGGGTCTTGAGAGAAGCACGTACAGTTACCAGGAGGAGTTTTAATCCATCATAAGTGGTGCAGTGCTTGGTAAAGGGCTCTGAGGTACCTTGGTTGTGCATCCTGCTCTGATTTGTGCAGTGCATGCATTACTACATTTCAAACACACTTGGTATGAGATGACTTTCTGTCTGCTCTGGAGTGTTTTGAGTGCCAGTTCATGATGGGCAGCTTGATCACAGATCCTGAGCAAAGAAATGCCTTTTCCTCACCTCTCTGGTGAGGTCTCTTCTACATCTCATAGTCTGCATTGGAACTTGAAGGAAGTTACTTGCTTGCTATGACAGGACTAATGGGTCCTGGGTCTTGTTGGAAAGGTGGTGACAAGTGGGAGAGGAGAAAAATGATATGATAATGACCCTTAGTTCTAAAAGTGTCCCAAAGAAGGCAAGAGAACAAAAAATTGAGACTAAAAGTGATTGATTCTTGACCTAAGCTAATTGTAGCCAGGAATAATCTGCAAAAGCTTAATCTTGTGCCAAGGTGGCTGAGAGAAATTTCAGTGGTGAGCAGGATTGTTAATCTTTGCCCTTCATGGACAGAGCATGAGGGACAAGCCAAGTTTCCATGTGCTATTGGCGTTCCTAGAGCTGTTTGTGCAAGAAATGTGCATTTGGACTGACTGCATGTCTCGTTTTAGTCATTGGAGATGTTTCTGGCCTACACACTGGACATGTGCCAAGTTACCTAAAAATGCCTTTCCTTAACTTTTTGGGTACTTGCACTTTGTTAATTTCTCTGAACCTTATAGTCTTCCTAAAAGAGTACTTGGGAAATGCAAGAATTTCTTTGTGAGATAGCTCATGTGCATTCAGCTATGAAGGTAATCCCTCCCTCCCTCCCTCCCTTTTCTGACACAGGAATGTTTCATCAGCCTAATTTGTTCTTTTTTGTTTTTTGAAGTTAGAACTTTTAGCCTTCTGTCTGGGTTCAGTCAGTTTCAGCAGTCTGAAAGATGCATATTTTTTCCTCTGATGCTTTGTAGCAGTGAGAATTTCACCTAGGTGGTCATAGCAGAAAATCTGCACATATTTTATAGACAGTATAAAAATGAGAAATATCTCTGGCTTGACTTGGACATACAAGGTAAAAATCATCATCTTAGTGGTTGAATGGTGTAAGATTTGTCTTAAAATTCCATTCAAGTTTGTCCTATAAAGATATCATCCACCCATAAAACAAAATGTGTGATTTTGGCAAGATTAGGCAAGATTAGTTTCCTTATATACCCCCTTCATCCCCTCTAATAGCCCCCCCCCACACCACTTCTCCCAGTATGTACAGAAGAGCTGGGAGCCAAGTTGCAGGAAGTTTAAAGAGAGTGCTCTAGATACACAGTATATTCTAGAATTGTTTTGGTGCAAAATGCAGTCAGTTGTACATCTTGGGATAAAAGCAGAATGATACAGATGAGATTTAATAGCTTGAAATTAGTCATTGAGTTTTTTCAATATACTTCATTGTGTTTGCAGCAAAGGTGTTAGTGGGGGGACCTAATAGGACAAGACAGTGGGAGCGGAGTTTACAAGCTGCTTTCAATGCCTCTTGTGGGAAATTAATGTAATAAGGTCCTTACCAATGGATGGAACTGTCAGGTTAGTGTTTCAGAGTGCACAGGAGGTTGTTTTGTGCCCAAGAGTTAGACTTTTCCCAGCTGTGCTAATTAGGCACAGAAGACAATGCCTGCGCATTCAAACTTTGCCTTGTCACACCATTACAGCCTCACAAAAGGAAATGAAATTCTAGGTTAATTCAAGGCTCAAAATAGCATTTCTCTTGCAATATGCATTACTCTTTCCTAGCCACTTTCTCCTCTCCCTGATCTACATGGAATATTCCATTCATTACTGCTTAGGAAATCAGTTATTTTGCAGTCTGCAAATGCTGAAATGACGTTAGGGGAGAAATACTTGTTTGCAACCAAAACTATTTTTGAACAAACGCTTCATTTTAGAAATCCTAGCCAGCTAAGAAAAGCTGAATTGAGATTTTTTGCTGTAAAATAATTTTGTATTGCATTTCATCAAATGATTCCCTGTGATGCTCATGTGTTAGGTAATCCTGACAGAGGAGTATTTGAAATAGAATACGAAGAGGTACTTAACTGGTATGGAACAGGATTTGACATCTTTTGTGGAATATTTGCAAGGATACATTTAACTTTTTCAGACATAGATAACCAAAATAGGTTAAGAATTCTTCATGAAAGTTAAAGCGTTTGTATTTTAGCCTGCTGCTTTTTCTCCACGGTGTTTCTACCTCTGAATGAATCCAAAGGGAAAGCTGGCACTCACTCAGCTGTTTTGACTATTAAATAAGTGTGCTTTTTCTCATTCTGTTGAGATGGTGTTTAGCTGTGACTGAACATAAACCTTTTAAATGTTTGGAAATATACCTGCTATGCTGAAAGGATGGATTGCTTATGCATTGTAACAACAAAGGTAAGACGATAAAGCTTTTGATTCATGCCTACAATCTCGGAAGTTCTTATTGCATCTTTCTTCCAGTTTTTACTACCTGTAATGAAAATGCCTTGATGGTTTTCTAGTGTTGATCTTTTTTAAACTTTAAACTGTACAGATCATGAAAATAAATTCCATAGTTGTTGCTAAGAACAATCATAGATGTTAATGTTTTGAAGAACTAATTATGCACATATTGAAAAGTGTAGTAGAATGACTTTTTCCCTCTCATTCTGCAGTAAGGCACTCTTTTGTAAAAATTCACTCTCTTTAAATGTGCTAAAATAGCAGTTTGCTTTTTATTCCAGAATAAGAAATTCCAAATGATGTTTTACATAACCTTTATCAGGACATGTTTAAAATAATCATCAAATAGAAGAAGATGAATATGGCAAGTCATGTTAGGGATGGATATATTTCAAGATGCTTTATTATTTTCACATCTTGCTGCTTGGAGATGAAGACACCCAGATAACTTAGAGTCATTACTTCTGTGCTAGGATAAAGTTTTATGTAAGTTTGTTTTTAATGCAGTCCAGTTGTAACTGCTAAAGATAAAATCTGATGCATAAATGTAATATATTAGTACTGTGCTTGTGAAGTATGGGCTTCGTGAGTTTGGTGTTTTGGAGGCTTTTATTTTCCTTCAAGTAGTAAAATTGTTCTGTATTGCTCCCCTTTCCCTGGGTGTTGAGATAGTTGCTAGATTATATTTTTTTTTTTTTTTGACAAACTGATTTAACTTCTAGCATTCTTCTGGATAATTTGAAACCATAAAACTTGCTTATACAAACTTCTTCTCAAGAAGTAGAATAAAATTGAACATCTTTAAGAATATTAGGTGAATTTAATGATAGCTTTTACCAAAGAAAAGATGCTTTCCGGGTTTTTTGACACAAGGAAGCAAAGGCTGACTGAAATGAATGAAATTATCTTGTCTCTCACTAGCAAAGGAGTCTTTCTGGTGTCTGAACTGTCACAGTTCTTTTGGAAGTTAAATATACCCTTTAAAATCATGTTTGAATGATAGTAATTTGTGGCATTTTGATTTTATTTATTTTAGAATATTCTCTTTCGTACAGTCAGATTGGGATTGGATATTGATTGCTTCATTTCAGTTATATTGATATGTACCTTAATTTTACTGTACTTATTTTAAAAAAGGCAGAGGTAGAGCTGTCATTTTTATAACTGAAGTGCTTACCTTTAGTTTTATTTTGGATATTTTTTCACCTTCACATATCTACTTGTCTAAGAGCAGAAGGACAATTTATATGGAAAGTTAAGCCAACAGAAAACATTCTGTGAAAAAGAGTTGTTTTTTAGTATGACTGGCTTAGCTCTGTGCTGCTAAGAAAGTAAGACTGCTTACAGAAATGCTCACAGAAATGTTGCACAGGAGAGGGAGAGATCAGCTCTGCACAGCCCAGACTTGCAGGGGTTAGACTGGTGCATTTCCACCTGGAGTTATCAGCACTTCATCCTTCCTGCCTGCTTCTTGTGAAGTTTTGGCCTCATTTAACTAAATGCTGCTGTAGTACCTTGCAGCTTCAACTAAAGCAGTTTATTTAAAGTGGGGCTTAGAAAAGAGCTGTGTGCTTCCCTGTGTACCCGTGTGTTTCTAGTAGTTGTAGCCTAATAAAAAGTACATTCCTTGGTTTTGTACATAAACCTATATTTCAAATCTCAAGAAAAATCAATGCATGTAAGTAAGGCAATTTTGAAATCAGCATTAATGTAATGTATGATAGGATTAGTAAAAAATGCTTCCCCTTTCTCTACCTTGAGTGGAGGCGTATTTGAAACAATTCATTGTTACTCTTTTCTGACTAGGGCAGAGAAGAATTTGGCCAGTGAGATGAATTTTCTAGTAGATTTCAGAAGTCTTTTGTAATTTGGTCTTTGATATTTCTTTTTTGCTTAGTTAAAAATTCAGATCTAGTCACAATAGATGAACAGGTCATTAAACTAATTTCTAGAACAAAGGTTCTAACTGGTTTACTTGGCCCAAATCTAGTGCAAAGAATACTGATTAATACAGTATTTTTTCCTCCTTATGTGGGCACGTTGGCTTGATGTAGGTAGGCAAATTTGCATCACTGCAACCATGGATACTATTAAGAGCAGGCACGTGGGCTGAGCTTACAGTAATGATTTTTATTTAAGTCACAGTTTTAAATGAGTTCATGGCACTTAAAAATACAGAATATGAAAAGTCGTTGATTCTTCCAGAAAAAACAATTTTTAGCATTCATTCTTAACTTTGTTCCATAGTATACTTCCAGCAAAGGAGTTGAATTTAAAATGACAATGATCTAGAATAGCTTTAAATAATATATCTAGCCTGAGAAGTGTGAAAAAACAATTGTTTTGTACCATTTTTATTTCAAAATCCTAAGAAGCATCCTGCCTTGGAGGATATATCAGAGCAGTATCAGTGTGGTGCAGTCCTTGTTTCTTGCAGTAACCAAACTCCAGTATTTCAGGAGAGGAGAAATGTATAATGCATCAAACTGTTACTAGAGGAGAAAGGTGAAGGGTTTTTTCCTAAGCTGTAAAACTTAAGCTGTGAGACCTCATAAAGTGGGAGTCTGAGCTCCTGATGTGGCTGCAAGGAGCCTGACCTCAGGAGCACAGTTACAGCTGGCATGGGTCAGGTGGGGAAGGTGACTCTGAGTTTGTGTGATTCCTGCAGCTTTCCTCCCTGGCTGTGCCTTTCACTGTAATTCAGTCCCATTGATGTTATAGTCAGGTTTTGGAATTTGCCTCAGCTTAAATGATTTTGTGCGTAATGGAATTTGTACTGAAACTGATCTTCTCCAACCATCTGCTTAAAGAAGGGGCAGCATCAGCTTTAGACCAGGTCACTCAGGGTTTTGATTTGGTTTTGTTTTCCTGCTGGGCACAACAAGGGCCCAGTTTTTTTTTTTCTTACTGTCTCCTCTTAGATGTGAGAAGGCTGTTAGCAGCTCCTGCCCGGGGCCTTTCTCTGGGTGAATAAGCCCAGTTCCCTGAACCTTTCTTCATTGTGCTTCAGCCAAGTGACCTCTTGGTGATTTTCCACTGTACTTGATCCTGTATTCCAGGTCTAACAAGTGTTTGAAGAAACATAGGTTGCAATGCAAGTTTTAGCCTTCTGTGTTATGTACTGTGTGCATAAAACCTGAAAACCTCAATGTTGGTAGGAAATATAATGTGAGAGGCAATTGTGTGAAAACAGAAACAGTGAAAAGCTAAGCTTTTATGTATAAACTTGATGGAGAAATTACTTGGTGGGCCCAAAGGAATTTGTTTTCTTAAGTGGAGGAGCAAAATACAGAATTTTGAATTTAAAATTGTTGATGAGATGTAAATGAGTTATATGAGCAATTTTTACACCGAAAGCTTAAGAAATACTTTCAGTACTTAATAGTACACAACAGCTCTGCCAAGTTGGCACATGTGAATGATGTGTCAGAATGGGTTTTGGCCAAGGATTTAATTTTGCCAACATTCTATGTCCTCCCTAAAAACCAAATTGCTTTCCAAACATATTTGATTGGACAAATCATAGTTACCTGGTGAGCCAGTTGAATAATACTAATAATAAATCATTTGCCTTTGCTATGTCATCTGGTTACAGTGTTGAAAAAAAGGGTGCAGAATCAGTCATAGAAGCTTTGGGAAGTGAAAAATTGGTGCAGCTCTAATGTTGGCAGCATCTGCAGAGGGTATGATACTGCTCTTGCATGTAAGCTTGATGTATAATGCAATGCTAAAGAAGCAGCTGCCTACTAGATAGTTGGGAAGTGTCAAATGCAAGGATTGGCCAGCTTTCATGTGGAATAGGAGACCAAGTGTGAGAAATGTTTGCCATGTTGGGTTTCAAGGGTATTTGCTAAAATCAGTGAGGAATACATGCTGAGAACACTGAGCTGATGGTCATGGCAGGAGAAACAATGTCCCAGCTGCCTGTATTTGTGAACAGCCCTTTGAAAAGTTTGAAGTTTTAATATACAGAATGAACTTAGGCAGAGGGTTATGCTTCTGATCTCTGCAGGGCACATAAAGAAACCCAGTGCAACATCAGATAGCTGGTGGTTGTAGCTAAAGAAATTAAGAAATATTATGTTTTGGATCCTATGGATGGAACTGAAAGTGGTTTCTCAGAGTTTTGAAGATGAATATGTTTCAAGGTGATTATTGATGACACCAAGAGTGATGCAGGTGGCGGAGAGTGATGATGGAGGAAATGATGAAGGGACCTGATATGCAAAATCTGAAAAGCTGTATAGGGAAGTAGGAGAAAACTTTGACTAACTTAAAGCAAATCATTATTAGAAATTTACATTCTTACTATATATGGATTACAAGGATATGATAAACTGTCTGCATTTAACTTCTTTCTAAGGAAGTTATCTGGATTTCAGAGTTCTCTTTCTGTGAACATGGTATTTGGTATTCTCCCAACTGACAGCAGTTTAAGACTCAAGAACATCCTGAGCCAGAGGCACTTGCTCTGGCTACAGATAGTGTTCTTTGGCTTTTCCTTAGGTGGATTATCTAGTCTCATCAAAATGTACATAGAGTACAGACCAAAGGTATAAATCCTTGTTGTTTGCTTTTTATACAGAGCATCTTCTAAGTTAATCCTTGCTTACTTGTGTTTGCTCGCTCTCTCTAAATGGCTGCGAGCATACAGGGCTGTTTAACCCAGAACTTAATAGGATTGTGTAGTTATTCACGCTGGCATCAGTGATGTTGATATTTATTAGAATTTGTGTGCTACAAGAAACTGAATATCAGGCTTCTGAGATGTTTATATGAAACTGATGAATTTAACATGAAGCTCTTGTGTTATTGTGTGTGTTTGTACTTATTTCTCCTTCTGCTTGAAATGAAAAAGCTGCTAATTAATACTAGAAATAAATGACAAATGGGTTATATTTGGTTATTGCATCAGGGAGTTGGACTGACTCTGAGAACATGGTGTGGAACAT